AGGAAAAAAAAAAAAAAAAAAAAAAAAAAAAAAAAAAAAAAAAAAATTGATTGTATATAAATGTGTGGGTGCATTAGTATAACTTTTTACTTATTAAAACATTTTTACACTATTAATTTTTTTTCTGATAAAACTACCAAGATGTCCCTTGGTAACCAAGGCCTCTTTTTAGTTCCAGGGAAATGAAATGAAACAGAGGCAAATCTAGCTCTAGCTCGTAATTTTAGAAGAATTTATTATCCCCTTGATGCCTTCTGGTGTCATGGAAGCAGACAACGCCATAGCTCAAGCCTTGGCTCACGAGAGTAAAGCATTCACACATTCTAATATGTATTATATCACTATACACACTGCAGTGTCTTTACAATCTTCTTCCAGTTTTATGGTCCGTTAGTATCAACCTACATTCTTTAATAAGAAGCAGGAGTGATACAGACAGAATAAGCCTGTAATTGTAGCATGTACCCTAATTTGAAGAAGTTTGTCCTGAGTGGTTAACCTTATGCCATAATCGTATCTTCTTTTTGTGGCTATTGTAATTAATCCAGCAATATACCGCCCCACTGATCTCAAAAGGCCACTATATAGATTCAGATTTCCCATGTATCATTACAGCAAGAATATTGCTTACATCCATGAGTCCTTCACAACAACAACCCTAATGGATTGAACAAAAATCACTGTTACATGAATTCTAGAATATATCAGGGAAGGGAAGGAAACTCAGTTCTAATTGTTGAACTATGCTCCACTCACAGTCTTAAGATGAAAGGGAATATAAGACGCAACTGAGCCATAAATTAATGATCACAAAGGTGCTAATCAAAGGGGAAACAAGAGGGAGGTACACAGGTAAAAGTCTCTGCCTCTACAGACTGCTACCTCTTTTTTATTTCAATGACCAAATGTTTTTAAGAAAAATACTAACGTGAAAGCATACTTTAACAATAAATTTCCAGTTCCAATGAAATTCCATGTCACACCAATATTGACAGACCATACATTTGCCACCTCTACATTTGACCTTGAAATTTATATGCCATAAATTCAATGGAAGAACTTAAATCCAAACATGTTAGACTGCTACCTCTTAAAATGCATTTCTGGAGAACTCACCTCAATCCCAGCTCAGTGTCCACCTTTACTGCCTTCCACCACATTTCTAAAGCGTCTCTTTTTCCAAGACTGCAAAGATAATTTGAGTCTGTGCTGAAATTTATCATAAATTGTGAAATGGCAAAATTGAAATAAGGGAATTTTAAAATACTTTAAACAAACACAAAGCAACAACTTTGGATGCAAGTGTTGTCTTACAGGAAACCTCTATAAGAAACAAAGCTAGTCATCTAGGGAGCTCCATCAAAATGCCAGAATATTTTTCATGCAAAAAAAACAAAGCCCCACGGAAAAACAAAGAGAAGCAAACACTCCTTAAATATTCAACTAACTTTATACAAGAGTTGGCACAGGCAAGAAAACTCCACTGCCTGCTCTGAAGTTGAGGAACCAGTCTGGCAGGCTGCATGCTGTCCTGGACGGGCAGGTATTATTTGGGAGTTCAGCAGCATGATTTCCAAATGAGCCAAAAGCAGGAGGCATTTAACCTTGATATGCTACTTAATTACATATTTTAACACACTGAACTGTGAAGTCAATTTAATTATGTAAAATTAAAGTTTCATCTAGATAAAAAGGATTTGAAATGAAAGCTTCATTTCCAATTTCTTTCATTAATTGTGAAAGGATAAATAATTACATTTTCCAGAGCTCCTATGCCACAAATATCTCTTTCCTTGTCAGACACCATTCACAAAGAGGTCTGTTGCTTTTGTGTATATAGTCTTTGGAATTGCTTATCAGATAATTGGGTCCTCTCACAAGCAGTTTTAAAGTCACTTTGT